GCGGCCTGGGTGGGGCCGGCAGCGGGGCGAGGACAGGCTGTGTTTGGGGATCTGAAGGCGTCCGGCATGGGAGGCTTCCTTCGGGCCCGCGAGGGCTGCGAGCTGGGGCGCGCGGGATGGGACTCCCGCTCCCTTTTCCCGGCCGCTGGGCGCTGCGACCGCCGCTCCCTGCACTTTGCCAGGGCCGCCGGCGTCCTCCTGGCGCACCCTAGCGCCCGCGCCGTCTCCGGCCCCCTGTCGCCCAGCGCAGCGGCGTTCCAGCCCACCCTGCTGCTGTGGCTTGGGGCCTGGCGCCCCAGGGCCGCCGCCCCTGCCCTGGCCGGCTCTCTCCTTTTCTCTCTCAGAATTCAGGATTTCAGCGAGAATGGATTTGGTGCGGAGGGGTTGCCTTACAGGATAACCATTCAGTTAGCTGCCCGCCATTTGTTCCGACGTTTTCCCACCTGGCCCGCCTGGGCAGGGCCTGGCCAGCCGCCCTCCTCCGCTGCTCAGCGCCCCTCCTGGACTCCTCAGCTGTGAGGCCCGAGGATCTTTCCGTCCCAGAATGTGCATCTGGCCCTCAGGGATGTTTTATGTCTTCTCAGGGCATGAGAACATGCCACAGTGGCACCTCTTCACTTCTGTTGGGGTGCAGCAGCCCCGAGGCTCCTTGGCACCTTCTCGCTGCTGTGGGGAGTCCCCCAGGTGGCCACGTCCCCGCCCCTCTCCCCATTTCTGTTTGCCTAATGGCTTTGACTCTGGGGCCTCTGCAGGAGGCTGTTCCTCACCTTGCAGTAAGGCCAAGTTAGCAAAGAGGCTGCTGGGGTGTCCCCACATGGGGTAGGGTTGTCTGGACAGTAGCTGTGACCTTCCCAGGCTGGTGGGATCAGACCCATTCCTGGGAGGGGAATACAGAGGCCCAGCACATGGGAAGTACCTGTGTTTGCTTTCCAGCTTGGAGACTAGCTTCTCAGTAAGCTAGCTCACTGTTTTCCTCAGTGAGACTCCCTGTGGTGTTTGGGGTGTGGCCCTTTGTGGCACTGATGGGGTGGTGGACAGCTGAGCAGGCATGGACAGCCTCATTTCTGGGACTGCAGACCTCTTGATGGAGTCCCCTGTCCTTTCCTGCCTTACTCTGGCTCTCTCTGGTTGTATTGGGGTACTGAGTTTGGGGAAGGAAGGAGAAGGGGGGAGGGGCATAATGCCGGGCTGGTGACACCCAACTCATTCTTAGGGCCGGAGAATTGGGTCTTGGTCATAATCTCCCTTCTGCCCCTCATTCTTCCTTTTTCTCCAGGGCAGGGGGGATGTTGTCCCCAGGGCCTCCAGGAGTGGTCCCCAAAGCCTGGCAGAGAAGATGTCCTGCTCCTGCCCTCCTTGCCTGGGGATTCCAGCCCCATCCAGCTACCAGATGAGCCGCTCTGCCTCCGAGGCTCAAGCTCCTTTCCATGTCTCTGAACCCTTCCAGAACCTCCCAGCCTATTCTCACTGACCACCCCCCGCCCCTGGAGCTGGGGTCACCTCTGAACACAAATCAGAGCTTGGAACCTGGGTCCATCCTCTTCTACTCCATGCCCCTTTATCCTCGCTCTGTCTTGTCCTTGGGCCTTGACTGTGACCTCTGCTTGAATTCCTCTTTCCTCTGCTCAGAGGTTTCTCTTGGCCATTTGGGTCCCAGCTCCAGTGCTACCATGGAGGACCCTCTTTGATCCTCTGGCTCAAGTGTGGTCCCATTACAGACTTATTTTAATGGTTTATTGTCTGGGCAGCACTTCTTGCTCTCTGGATGTGTTATTGTCCATCTGCTGGGCCAGTGGGTTCCCCTTCAAGTGGACTTCCCTTGACCACCTGCTGTGCTCAGCCTCCCCCCCTTTCTCCCAGCACTAAGGGTGCCAAGAGATCATTATGGTCTCAGTGTCTGAGGGTGGAAGGGAACCTAGATCACTCCTGGGCCCCTGGATGTGATGGTGGCCTCAGCTCCAGCCTTATGTCCCTCCTTCAGTGCTGACTGGCATGCCCACTAGCAGCCCAGGGCCCAGGTCAATGGCAGCGACCTGGAGTCAGCTGGTTCTGAAACACTGCAGTTTGAGGCTGGAGGAGTTAGTATTTTGGGGGCTGTCAAACTGTTTTTCTTTTTTCTAATCCAAGCAGTTGCACTCTTTGTCATTTTTTTTTTTTTTTGGCTTGGCTCCCCCTCCTGTCTCACCCTCAGAGTGGCCCTTGCTTCCTCAATGGTATTCTTGCTTCCTACCAACCCTTGCTAACTCTCTGGCTTTGTGTCAGCTGGGTGAGTCTGCTTCCAGGAGGAAGATGGGGTGGGTGCCCACCTCTTCTGGCTCAGGGACCAGCAGCTGCCAAATTCTCCTGGGAGCTGGGAGGACTGGTCAGTGAGGGCTTGGGAGTTGGCTGGAGGAGGCCTCCGATCTCAGCTCTGCTTTTGTTAGCTGAGTGGCCTTGGGCAAGCTCACCAGCCTTCTGCCTCAGTGTCCCCGCTTCTAGAATGGGACATAGCACTCACTACCTCATAGAGGGTTATTATGAGGCCTAATGAGATGGTGCATGTGGAACATTTAGGTCATAGTGCCCTGCATATAATGGGTACCCAGGAATCCATGGCTGGTATAATTAGCACCATCCAAGCGGGGAAGCTATCCTGCCTCCCCAAGGAAATGCTTTTGAGACTTGCACTTTCATCCAGTAAGCTGGGCAGGAGGAGGGCTGGGCGTGAGGCCCAAGGTGGGGCTGGAGGGATGGAGGACAGGGACATAGCACCTCAAAGCTTTTCCTTAGATAGAGCACTAATTCCTCTTGGGGCCACTGGTGGGCTGGCACGTTCCCTGCCTGGTTGGCCTAGCCCTTTCTTAACCACAGCCAAGCTGGTGAGCCCAGGTTTTTCCCTGGCCAGGCAGCGTGATCACTCCAGCCCCAAGGACACGCGGCTGACCTGTGCTCTCCATGCCTACAGGACTGGCTCCGTCTGCGTGAGCATCTCTGGCTTTCTGAGTGGCTGTCATGACTTCTAAAGGCCCAGGCTTTCTTAGCTTGCTGGCATTCTTGAGGAATGTGTGTAGGGGTGGGGTTCCAGGCATCCTGGTTATATTGTTATATTTAATATTCTTTCTGGGAGAAGGGAGGCAAAGGGAGCACAGTTTTTCCAGTGACTTGGCAGTGACTTCCAAGTTGATGAAGGATTAAGATTCATGTGTCATTCCACTAGTTAGCAACCCAGACATCTACCTATTCACCCATAAACCCAACCAACTAGCCATTTACTCACCATCCCTCCATTTATCAACCATTCATCTTTGTTATCCATCCAGCACTCATCCACCTACCATTCAGTCATCTACCTTCCTTCCATTCATATATCCATACCTTCACCCACCATCATCCTTTCACCTATCTACTCACCGTTCATCTGTCCATACATCACTGTGCATTCATCCATCTAGCCATTTATACATTACCATCCATCAGTCCATCCAGAATCCACCCATCAATCATCCACTTATCTATACATACACATCCATCTACCCATCCAGAATCTGTCTGCTACTTATCTAGCCATTCGTCTATCCATAGTCACCAGCCAGCCACCCACCCATTCTCCATCCATCCATCCATCCATCTACCATCATCTGTCTGTCCATATGCCTACCTGCCTGCCTGCCTGCCATTCCTCCATCCCTCCCCATCCATCTATCCGCCATCCACCCATTTACCTATCCACACAACACACCTTTTTGGAATATCTTCCCTGAGCAGTTTTGAACACAGAGCATGATGTCTTTCTGGGCTCTTGCAGTGAAACCCTGAGATTTTCTGTCTCATCTCTGTGTCTTTGTCTATCTCTCCCCCTCCCTGGTTCTCTCCCTCTGTCCCTCTTCTGCCTCTATGTCTGTCGATCTTGCCTCTGCTTCTCTGTCTTGTCTCCCTGTCTCTCCCTCTGCCTCTGGGGTTGTCTCCCATGCAGTGAGGTAGGCATGAGAGAGGAGTCTCCTCTCTCTTTTTCCTGCCCCCATCCATTCCTTGGGCCTGGAGGCCCCTTCCTGCCTGCCTGCCTTGTGCCCCTCACTCTCCCCAGACCCCAGTCACTCCTTGGTAGTGGCCTTGCCACCTCCCCTCTAGTCCCCTCCCTCTCAGGACTGGCGCTTCCTTTTGATGAGACGCCAATGAGGTGATGTCTGGGTTTTGTTAAATGTCATAAATAAATTATTAATCACTTCTTGGGCGGGAGTTCTGCCCCCCACATCAGCCTGGGTTCTGTGTCATGTGGGGAGGTCTGAGGACTAATGGGAATTTTTGTCTGGGCTCCTCCTTGGCCAGAACTCCTGGTCCCTTAGCACCCAAAACGGACCTGCCAGCCCTCACCCTGGGGCCACCCTCCCAGGCTCTGCCTGCATTGCTTAGCTCCGCCTGGGTGTACCATCCCCACTTTTCACTCACAGTTTCTAATCCTTGGTCACCTGGAGGAAGGGTGCTGGGACAGGCCAACTTGAAGCTAGGGTCAGCCAGGCAGGGACTTGGGCCACCCCAAGGAGGGGTGCTGGTTTGAAGCCATTGCACTGTCCTGTCCCTGCCTCCTCCTGACCACCAGGTGGCCTTGTTCCCGCTTGGACTTGGGTTACAGGGTGAGGAACAGAAGGAGCTCCTGTCTCCAGACCCTGCTGAGCTGGGTCCCTATCATTGACACATTTGGGGCCCTGACCTTGGCAGTGAAGGTCTTGTCTAGCTCCTGCCTCTGTTCTTCCCACCCTTCGACCACCCAGAATCTGGGGCCTAACTGCCCTCCGCAGTCACGTGGTTTTCTTTACTCTGAGCAGCTGGCGCTTCCAAAGCTCCCTGCCGCCCGCTTCTGGCTCTGCCGCTGCTCCTCCCAGAAGGGGCGGGGCTTGCCCTGGATGTGGGCCTGGACCAGCCCCGACCTCCCCCAGGGGCCCCTGTGACCTTCCAGACCCGCCTGCCTTGGCTTCAGTCACCTCGTGGTCCCCAGGGTGAAGACCCCACTTGGCACACCAGACATGCTGTTGAAATGCTGAATTCCGGGAGGATCCGATGCCTGTGGGTTCCCTGCTGGCGTGGAACTGAGATGTGGGCAGCTGACCGAGGGGGCCCTCTGAGCTTGAGTTTCCAATCTGCAGTGAGATTGGTAGTTCTTACCTCCGCGGTTGCTGTGTGGTGTCCCCATGGATATGACACTGTCGGGTGCTCTGAGCCTAGGGCAGGTGGTGTGTAGGCATTAGGTGAGGTGTAGGCCTGGGATGGGTCACCCAGCTGTGTCAGCTTGGAGTCCCTCGGGGCTGAGCCAGAGTGTGCACGGGGAGCTAATAAAGGGCTGGACTGAGCTCAGGAAAAAGCTATAGAAGGTCCTTCTCTTCACCCTGCCAGGCTCTGTCCCTCCCTGTCTGTCCATCCGCTCCTTCCCTCTGAAGCAGCCTCCCCTGCCCCTCCCCAGGCCTGCTCTGCCTGGGCGGCTCTGGAGGTGAGCGATAACCAGGCTAATGGTCCTAATTATAGCTGGCTTGGATCGATGGCACCTCAGGCCCTGGAGGGGCAGGGCTGGTGTGGGAGGGCCCAGCCAGGCGGGCCAGCGGTGTGGGCCGCTATGAAGGCCAAGAGCTGGCAGGACAAGGAGTCCTGGAGCCCCTCACCCCAGGGCCCAGGAGCCCACCACCACTGGCTGCATGTCCTGCGACTCAGTACCCTCTGCATCTCGGCTCTGTCCTTGACAGCTGGGGCTGCAGGGAGAAGGGGCGGGGGTCCCGGGGCACAGGGCTCAGGGCTCAGGGCATGGCTGATGGTGGGGTTGCTTGAAGAGTGATTCCTAGGCCTAAGAGCCCAAGAACACTCACGGCCTGTTGCGGAAGAGGGAGGGGGCCGTGTGAGAGGAGGGGCTGGGCTCTCATATTAAAGACAGGGTGCATGGACTTGAGGTGTCCCCAGGGTACCAGCAGCCTGTGGGAACAGGAAGGGGCTGTCAGAGAAGGGGGTGGGCAGGGCTGGGTCCCCATCTCCCCTACCAACTCCGAACCTTCCTGGAGGAGGATTTTATTAGGCAGATGGCCCTGGGCTGGGAAGTCTTCTGGGAGGGGAGGAGGGGTCTGTGATGGACAGGATCTAGGACCGATTCTCCAAGGTGCGTTCTGGGTGTGGTCAGGGTGACCTGTGAGGCGCCTCTTGCCTTCTTCCCACTACAAAGCAGACCACGAACTTCCTTCCAGAACTTCCCCAGCCACCTGTTCGTCCTTGGTCCAGTCTGGTCAGTCAGGGACCATGTACTGATCTGACCTTCCTAAATCTGGGGACTGCTCTTCTGGGAAGGGACAGGGGATAGCCCAGAGCAGGGAGAGCCCCCACTCCTGAGATTGCATCAGCCTCGAGTGGGTTACATAACCATGTTGAGCACTGCTAGGGGGTGGGGTGCCTCTGCCTAGGCTGTCTCTATGGGGCCAGGGGAGTGGGCAGATTAGGGGTGGGCATCCTATTGGCCACCTTAGCCTAGTTCCATGCCAACCCCGGGTACTGCTGGCCAATCTTCTCCACTCCAGGATGACTCTGGGGGTCCCCATGCATGTTTTCAGGGACTTAGAGGGACAGATGGGGTCAGCTCTAGCAGCCCCTGGCCTCATCCCGGCTGTACCCAGGGCCTGGCCCCCACTGTCCATGCCTCTGTGAGTTGGAGCTCATCTAAGGCCACTGCATCTGCGCCTCCACCTGGGTATGTCCTCAGCAGTGCTCCTGAGTGGGTCAGGACACGCTGTGCTGCTCCCTCAGGACAGACTCAGGCCACCCTGCTAAGACCAGCTCCCTGTGGCCCCTTCCGGAGCCTCCTCCTCCGCTGGTCCTCGGTGTTCCCACCGCCTTGGCATGGGGAAGGTTTGGATCTCAGGCGTGTCCTGCCTCTGCCCAGGGACTCCTGGGGGCTGGCAGAGCAGAACTTGCTCCCCGGTTGGGACCCTGGTGCAGAGGGTGCCAGGCAGTGGTGTAGCCCCCGCCTGGTGCAGTCTGGCTCTGCAGGGTGAATGTAGGAAGGGTGTCTGCCCAGCTACCAGAGTCACCAGGGCCCTCTGAGGGCTGGGTGTGTGTGGAGGAAGCCTCCTCGTCCTCCCTTGGGACAGGGAGTGGGCAGGGGTCCCAGGCTGGGGGTGGTGACTGTGTGGAGCATGGGAGGGGATGTTTGTTGGTTGAGTCCTGTGTGTGCACACGTGTGTCCATGCACACGTATGTGGCTTTTCTGTCTGTTGCATGGGGCCTGCACACAGCTGGCTGGCAGGTTGAACATACAAGATAGTAACAAGGACTTCTGAGGTCACCCTCTCCTGGTTCTGAGGTTCCCCTGGGCATCCTCACCCTCCTGCAAGGTGGCCACTGGACTCTGAGCTGTTCACCCTGCTGTGTCTCCCACCTTGTGGGCCCAGCCGGCTCTGCTTTTTGCTCCCCCACCACTTGTGGCACATGGGGGTGGGGCAGGACGAGCTGGCCAGGGGTGCATGGGCCACCGGCTGGCCAGGGGAAGTGACCCGAGTGGGGCCTTCCCTGGTCTCCTGGAGGTTTTCTTTCTGCATGGCCCTTTGCCCCATGTGTGGCCATGGTTCTACTCTGGGTGACTTATTTCTTGGTGCTGTCCCCCTGGGGACCCTCCTCCCTTCCCCTTCATGGCCCATGCCTGGAGTCTTGGAACTTGGGCTCAAGTGTGGTTTCTTGCATGGGAGTCCGGCCTCAGCCCACCATGTCCCCATGGAAAGGTGACACATCATGCCCCCAGTTCATGTGGGAACCCCTCCTCTAGGTTGGAAGTGGGGGAGGGGCAGTCCCACCTTGTGCCCTTCAAGAGATGGATGTGGAGCTCAGAGCCAGCATCTTATTTTTTTTGACCTAGGGCCCTGGCATGTGCGCGCGCACACACACACGCTACCACTGACCACACCCTAGGCCCTTTTTATTTTTTATTTGAAGACAGGGTCTCACTAAGTTCCCCAGGGTGGCCTTGAAACTGTGATCCTCCTGCCTCAGCCTCTCTAAGCTGAGGATTACAGGTGTGGCCACCACACCCAGCTGTAGCCAGTTTCTTCTTCAAAGATTCTCCACCCAGGTCCACTCTGCTCTCCTCTCACGCAGCCTGTAAGGTGCTGAAACAAGCGAGGGGTTCAGGATTCTGGTGGCTTCCGGGAAGTCCAGGCGTGGTGAACGTGACAGTTCTCTGTGGGGTGCCACATCTTTCTGGGTGCCCAGCTGGCGTGTTCTTGGCATACTGTCCAGTGTGTGTGTGTGTAGGGTGAGGTGTGTGCACCTGTGCACGTGGCTGCAGGATCAGGGCAAGGGGTACAGTGCCATCTTGGATGCTCCTGGGTGGGTCCCTCCTCCAGCACCCGGCTCTTGCTGTGCTGGTTTTCTGTGGTCCTCAGGTGATGGGACCTGAGTGTCCCAATTGTCCTGTTTTCACAGGATGGGCCTCACCCAGGTTGGCGCCTGTGTCCGGCCCTGACCCTCCCCGGGTGGTTCCTTGGGACTGCTTCCTCCCTGCGCCCCATGCCCAGTGCCAGCTGGTTAATCGCTCACTTTTCTTCCTGGAGATCAGCTTCCATGTCCCTGTCTTACCAGGGGTTGGTGGTTATCGTTCCAGGAGGGAAGGAAAGGCCCAGGGAAGGGACCTGACATTGTCCACCACGGCTGGCATTCCTGCCTTGCCCTGGTGGGGTCTGGGGAGGGTCCGGAGTGGTCACCTGGCGTGGCGGGCGGGTCCCTGGACTCTGGCTGGGGGAGCAGAGGGTAATCCCTCCCCACTTTGCCTCTTCCAGAAGAAGAAGATGGTGGCCTTGAAGGCTTCCACGGCTTCTTCCCTGCGGAGCCCGTGAGCCTTCCCAAGAAAAAGAAATCCAAGAAGCTCAAGGAGAGCAAGTCCAAAGGGAAGCGGAAGAAGAAAGAGGTGAGACGCGAGGGCGGGAGGGGCGCCGGGAGACCTGGGCCTCACGAGGAGTCCCAGCTTCCCCGAGAAACACCCAGACCAGTTTGTGCCGGAAGCCTGGTGTGCGCCAGCCTTTCTGGGGGGCTCAGGACATCCTATTTCCTGAGAGAACGTTGGGGGTGTCTCTCTCCCGTCCTGGCTGCCCTGTGTGGGGACGGTGGAATGCCCTTCCTCACAGCCGGTGGTCCCTGCTCCTGGCTCTCTGTAGCAGCCTCTGTCCCCCTAAGCAGATGCACTGGAAGTGCAGAGGCGAGGCCCGCAGTCCTGGAGAGCCCCTGGAGAGCCGAGCTGCCCCTGGAGCTGGGCTCCTGCCTCTTTCATCCTGGTTCCCAGCAGTTCAGGGAAGGAGAGGGAGGTGCGGATGGACGGAGCCCACGTGCTCAGATTACTTCCACGTGCTTCAGGGACTCGCTTGGACCCCAGGATCCACCCTGGGAATCGGTGGGATGGGGATGGGGATTTGTCCTTGTCACATGGGAAACTGAGGCAGAGAGGCAGCTGAAGGATCCCCGACTGGGACCCTGGGTGCCCTGTTATCTTACCGCATGCCGACTGGGAGGCTTTGGGTCTCCAGTCCTCCAGGCAGCCCCGGGGGGGAGGGTGGTAGCCTGCATCTAGCTTCACAGGCAAGGGAGAAGTGGCTCAGGGACGGCCATGCCCATGTCACATGTGGTCATGCCGAGGTCTGAACCTGGGACTCTCAGCAGAGTCCAGCTTTCCCCCTGCCAGGCACGGCCCTCTCCTAGCCTGCCTGTTCTGAGGAGATGTTGGCCAGTGCTCTGCCCCTTTTTGGTCCAGAGTTGTAGACGAAAGGCCCAGGAAGGTGGCTAGTGAGGAGCCCTGGGCAGAGCCTGGTAGGGAGAAGGGCTGCAGAGGACCCGGCCGAGGGCCCACGTGCCTGCTGAGTGCTTGGGAGTCCACCTAAGGCAGTGGCGCCCTGGGGCCACTGTGGCCTCTTGCCTGCCTCTCAAGTGAGGCGGGGTCAGCAGAGGGCTTTGAGCGGCTGGGCACAGGATGTAACTCAGCTCTGGCTCCTTGGGAGGCCCCAGGGTGAGGGCCAGAGGCAGAGGCAAGGAGGCCCAGCAGAGGGAGAGGGGACAGTGGTGGGCGTGAGAGCGGCTGCCTGTGCCGCTTGATTCTGTGTCCCCTTTCTACCTCCCATTTGTTTTGGTGACACATTAAGTGCCTTCCCATGTGAGGTGGCCATGGAGCGGCCCTGACCTCTGCTAGTGGCCTTTTGGGAGGACAGCGCCACCCTGGTCTGTGATCTTGCGCTGTGGTCTTCATCCAGGGCCCCTCTGGGGAGAGGCTGAGGCAGCTTGGTTTTCTTTGCTTGGGGCTCTTGGCTGAGGTTGGTGGTCAGCCTTTCTCAGTGGCAGGCCCCGACCCTTCAGGGGGAGCTTCCTGAAGGGTGCACCTGGCCACGCCCACAGCCCCTTTTCCCAGCTCCCGTGCTGTCCCCCCCAGGCCCTTCCTTGCCTCTGTTGCTCCACTGGGTGTGTGCACGCGAGGGATCCTGGGTCCTCCTGCTTGACTTTGCCCACATCTGCTGCCCTCAGCTCTGTCTTCATTCTGGTGTGATGTCCAGGACTGATGTGTCTGCCCCCTCTGAGGATACTCTACTCTTTACCCCTGGGCCAACCTGCAGGGTAGGGCCCAGGTCAGGGTTGTCCCTGGGGGTAGGTGGGTGGCCGAGGCTCCTGAGATGTGTAGGCCTGTATGCTGAGTCTTCTGAGGGGTCACGAAGGGGGTGAGTTTCCTGTTCCCAGTATCTAAATGGAGATGTGGAGGGAGACGGGGACCCTGTCCCTGGAGGCTCCCCCACTGAAGGAGAAGCTGAGACCAGCCCTTTTGATGGGGAAGGTCCCTAAATTCCTTGCTGTAGTTCCCTCTGCACTGCGGGGTCCCCACCGCAGCCCTGCAGGTCTGTCCTTGTGCTGGGCAGTGGATGGGCTGGACGGCGAGGCCCTCGGGTGATTTTCTGGTGGAGGCTGTGAAACCTGTTCTGCTGCCCCGCTGCCTTCCCCTCTGAGCCCCAGGCTCCGTGGGTCTCCATCCTGGGCCTCACTACGAGGGCAGGGAATTCCTACATGTGGCCCCGGACCAGTGCCTGTTTCCTCTCTAACAGATTTCTGGGGATGGGGTAGGAGGCTAGGACCAGAGGCACTACCACCTGGCCCTGGGTCTCAGCCTTGGGCTGGCTCTGCCCAGGCCCCCATTTGGGTCCCAGCAGGGGAGCAGCAGGTGCCTGTGAGAGCCACCGCCCCAGGCAGGGTTGGGTTTTTGCCCTCCCTCCTGGACATGTTGGCTCTGGCCAGGAAGGAGGCAGTGTCTGGACAGAGGCCAGGAGTGGGAGGGTGCTGGCGGCCCCGCAGCCTCCGGAGCCTGCAAGGGCTGGTCGCTGCCTCTCTTCTCAGGGCCCTGGTCTCAGCCTCTCCTTTCTCCGAGGCCTGGTTTGGTTTTGTGTCCAGCCCAGCTCTCTGGCTCTCGTCTGCTGTCTCTTGCTGGGTTCCATGGTGTCTCCCTCTGGCTCATGCTTGGTCTTTGCCTTATGCATCTGTCCCCTGGCCTCTTGCTCTCTCTCATCTCTCCATTTCCCCCCTCCTGCCTCGTTTCCCTCCCTGCTCTCCCTCATTCTCCCCACTCCTCTCTACTGAGGTGCTGTGGTGCTCCTTGGAAAGGATGGAGGGCTGGGGTGGACTGGAGGACCCTAGGGGACAGGTCCCTCGAGGTGACCTTTGGTTCAGGGCTGCCCCCTTCCCTGCATTCCTGAGAGCCTGGCTCTGACCTGCTGTGGATCCTAGGGGGTCTGGAGCATGCTGTGTCCAGAGAGGAGGGTCCCAGCTGCCTGCCTGCCCCACAGACCTGGGGGAGACGTGTGGCCAGGCAGGGGGATTGTATCCCTTTGCCCCTCTCTGTCTCCACCCAGGTGACCCCAAGAGGAGGTGCCAGGGCTGGTGGGCCCCAGGCAGCAGTTTGGGTGGGGGCAGGCAGCAAGTCATGGATTCTGATTTACATAAAATAACCAGTCTGCAGCCGGAACCTGAGCATATGTAGATGAAGCTCCTTGTCAGACCGGAGCGCAGGAGGGAGAAATGATTTCAACCTGTACTGCAGCGGTTACCATAGCAACCAATTATTCAGTGCTAAATTATAACTGTTTATAACAGTCGTGAATGGGAAGGCTCATATTTCATTCTTTCTTTTTCCCTCTCAATCTTGAAGGACCCCAAATTGAGAATGACCAGCTCTCTCAGCCCTTCCTTTGAGTTTAAATGCGTCCTTTCTCGGGAGATTGCGGTGTGTGCGCTGGGTGTACAGGGAGGGGCGGGGGAGATGAGAGGCTTCCATCCAGAAACAGCTGCGGAGCTGGGAAGGAGGGGGGCAGTGGGGACTGCCCACTTGGGGTCCCCAGAACCGAGGTTGGTGTGCTATGCCCTCCGTGGGAAATGGGGTGTAGAGCAGGGGCTCTTCCACCTGCCACAGGCACAGCTGGGGCGCAGTGTCCAAGGTGCTCTGCAGGTGGCTTCTGAGTCCTCTAAGATTGTTCTTCCAGCCAGCGCAGCGTCTCCCACAGTCACGTCTGGGGCTGCTGCAGCGAAAGGACAGTGCCAAGGTCAAAGTCCTGACCGTCATCCTGATTTTCACATCCTACTGTGTGTCTCGGTTGCTCACAGAGCTCAGGGTGGAGCTCTGTTAGGGAATTACTGGTCCGTGCCTGGTCTCCTCCCCTGAGCAGGCTGTGGCCCACTGCCCCCTTGTAGGGTCCAGGTATTCTCTGGTGTCCCCCCTCTGCTTCTTGGTCTTCCTTCTGCCATTGAGGTCCTCCCAGTTCCTGGGGCTCTTCTCTGCAAGTTGTTTCAGAACCAATTCAGCATCCCCCACTCCCTTTCTCTGCAAGTCAAGATTTTTTGGGGGAGCAGGGGGAACAAAAGGAGGCCCAGTTGTAGAAGTGTCAGAACAGCTGGTGCTGTGTTCTGCTGGGATAGACTTGTTCTGTAACTCATCCTGGCTGGGGAGCGGAGCTCGGTGAGTGCTGGGTGTAGGTGGGTGTGGCTCATGCTGTGTGGGCTCCCTTTAGGGGAGGCCCAAGGAAGGGAGGTGGCCAGGGGCCCCTGGGCCTCAGAGCCTTCTCTTTGGCGGCTTCTTCCTCCTCTGTGAAATGAGAGGTGACATCTTGCCTGAGCCTCAGGTGGTTGGCTGCAGGGAAGGGGTCTCCTGCTCGGCTCTGGGGTGGACTCTGGCCTAGCCTGTCAGGGCCAGGCTTTGGCCTTCTGCCAGGCCTGCTCCCCCTGAGCTATGCACACTCCGCTGCTGCCAGATAGCACAGTCTGCAGGCAGCTCCTCCCGGCTCCCTGCTGCCCTCCCTCCATGCCGAGCTGTGCTGGCCACTCCTTGCCTCTCTCATCCTGATGCTTCCCAGCAGATGCCTGGGCCAGCTTCTCTGGAGCTGTTGCTACACAGCCCGGTCTTGTCTGAGTCACGTTATCCGTCCACAGTGCTGCCCAGCTGCAGGCTCGCCCTGTGCAGTGGCTCCAGCCCAGTCTGATGGACAGATGAGGGAGATGAGGCTGGTTCGTTTCCTCCTCCTGCCTTCCAAGTAGAGTTGGGGTGGTCTTGGGTCATCTGGGCATTACCAGGGGAGGACGTGGTCCTGGCGCCTGGGTGCGGATGGTGTTGAAAGTGTCGCTCTGCCTGCGGGACCTGGCCCTTCTCTGCCGCTGTCTTCTGAGCATGGCTTCCCTGCCTGGCTGGCCTCTGTGTTAGAAACACCCAAGGGCTGGCTTCCGGCCCCCCTTGGTTCCGCCTACCATCCTTTGTGGCACCGCCTTTGCACAGATGAGGAGGCTGAGGTTCAGCTCTGCTGCAGACTTGCCCAAGGCCCTGGCTAGCAAGGGGCAAAACCTCCTAGGGAGCCCCAGGACCTACCGGCAGTCCCCCCGGGTCCTCTGGCTTCATCCCTGGCCAGTTTGTGGGGTCCGCCCTGAGGCAGCTGAGGGCTGCTTGGATTCCCTCCCTTGGGCTGCCTCGCTGCTGTCCATGGTGCTGAAGCTCCCGAGGCTCTCACCCTCCTCCTTACCTTTGCTGGGGTGGAGCCTGTGTTTCTTGACTGGAAGACACCCGTGGGGAAAACGGATGTTCTTGTCTGACGCCCAGCTCTTCAGAGGACTGTGGAAGAGCCTAAGAGCCAGGCTCAGGCGGCAGCCAGGGCTGGGAGCTGCCCTGCTCCGGGTGTGGTCAAGTCAGTGTTCCGAGAAACACCGCAGTTCCAGAAAAGCAAGGAGGCCCTGTTTCTGCTACCTGCTGGCGTTGTTGGCTTGGGGATTAGTGGACGTAAAGGTTTGAGAGCGGGAGCCTGGTGGAGAGCTGGGAAGTGTAGGCAGCGCCTGGCGGGGTCCTTTCTGGCCTGATCTCAGGGAGAGCCCCTCAGTGGCCTTCCATTCTCACCTAGCCATTGGGGATGTGCCTGTTCAGAGCCTCTCTCCTGGGAAAAGATTAGGTCATAACTCCTTTTGTTGCTGATGACCTTTATTTTATGTGTATATGGTGTTGAGAGTGGAACCCAGTGACCACAGATGCCAGGCAAGCGCTCTACCACTGAGCCCCAGCCCCAGCCTCCCCGGCCATAGCTCTTTACAGCGTGGCCTGAAAGGGAGAATTGTGCTGGGGCCCCCATAGCTTCTCCAGGCGGACCCCGCTGCCCCTCCCATCCTCCCTGTCTTCCGCACTCTCTTCCTGCCCCACTCTTTGATGCTCCCCTCTGTCCCACTGCCGGTCCCTGAGCTTACGTTTCATCTCCCCAGTTCTCTCTCCATCTCTTTCTATGCCACCCCACGTGCCTTGTTTTTTGGGACTGGGGATTGGACCCAGAGGGGCCTAACCACTGAGCCACATCCCCAGCCTTTTTTATTTTTAATTCTGTGGCAGGGTCTTGCTAAGTTGCTTAGGGCCTCACTGAGTTGCTGAGGATGGCTTTGAACTTGCCATCTTCCTGTCTCAGCCTCCCGAGCTGCTGGGATTACAGGCGTGCTCCACCACGCCCGGCCCCATGCCTCTCTTCGCTCACCTTGAAAACAGTTCATTGTAGTCATGAGAGTGACAGGCCGAGTGCTCTGTCTGTAGCCACAGTGCCAGCCTCTCCCTCAGACCCCAGCCCAAGGGGACTAGGAAGGCTCTGCCCCCTTGCTTTCTTCAGGGCCAGGAGGAGACTGCTTTCTGCTGGGGCAGTACCTTTCTGGTGGGGACGCTCTGGCTATAAACACCCTTATCTCCATATAAGTGGGCCATTTTCTGCCTGTTCAGACAGGAGACTAAATCAGGGAAGCCAGGCTTAAGAGCTGCCTAAATTACCTTGTCTCATATTGAGAGAAGTGGCCAGTGTGGGGTGGTGGGGAAGGTGGGCTTGTGCCCTGGCAGCCTCTGGAGAGCCGGCTGCAGAGAAACCTGGGGTGTGCTCCATGTTAATTGAGGTGTGGCTTGATAGGTGTGGTTCCTGGGGCGCAGCAGTAGCAGGGCTTCAGGGCTGGAGCCTGGGTGGGCGCCAGTAGGGACATTGTTTCCTGCGTGGGGCTTTTTCTGTTCACCTTGGTATTGGACTCTGGCCGTGGTGACCTCTACCATCAGCTCCTGGGTTCCAGTACCATTGTGCAAGACTAGTCACAATCCCAGAGTCCTCAGAAGCCTGGCTCTGACCAGAAAAGCAAGAGGACGTGGAACCGGAGCTGCTCGAGGGTGGGCCAGGCAGGCTGCGTCTCGCTTGGGAGGAGAGGGTCTGGTTTGCGGGAGGCCTTGCCTGACTGGCACTTCTCATTCAGCGGGGAGTGAGACCCTTGACTTGTGCTGCCTCAGAGCTGTGAGTATTGGACACGGATGAGGGATGGGTGGGCTGACTAACCTGGCCAGGCTGCTTGCAGAGCCACACTTCTGCCCGGGACCCTCAATTCTCTTGGGACCTCTGAGGCCCTCACTGTTCCCTTTCTTTTCCAGGGGAGCAACGATGAGCTTTCAGAGAATGAGGAGGATCTGGAAGAGAAGTCAGAGAGCGAAGGCAGTGACTACTCCCCTAACAAAAAGAAGAAGAAGAAACTCAAGGACAAGAAGGAGAAAAAAGCCAAGCGGAAGAAGAAGGACGAGGACGAGGACGACAATGACGACGGGTGCTTAAAGGTGACTGCTGTGGCCTGGGCAGGAGGAGCTCCAGTTCTTTGCCCACCAACCTGAGAGTCCATCCCGGGTTTTCCCAACCAGCGTGCACCGTGGACATTGGACATGTGGACACACTATGTCTGAGACGTGCAATGGCCAGGCCTCCTGGAGACGTGTTGAGATAACGAGGGGCAGATTGAGGAGCTGGTGGAGGAAATTGCGCATGTCTTGCTGATGTGTTGGCTGCTCTTGGCAGTTGCTTGCCTGCGTGCGCCTGGCCCTGTTTCTGGGGAGAGTGACAGCGGGAGCTCGGGTTGAGTGTGGCCAGCCCCGCTTAGGGTGGGAAGGGAACCTCGTTCCTAGCTTGCTCTGCAAGTCTGCCCGAGCCAGTGGGCATTCCCCAGGTCTCCTGCTGGACTTGGAGCAGAGCAGCTGCAGAGAGTGGTCTTGCTTTCCTGGGGGACGATGGGCTTCCCATGAATGTGCGGAAACATGGGAAACAAGCCGTGGCTTTAGGCTCAGCCTCACACCCCCTGGGACTCAGGACCTCCACTCTCGGTGTTGGAGGATGACCCTGAGTCACCAGGAGGGCTTTGCTCCTCGAGCCCCACGGCATGAATGCTCCATAGATAATAGCTCAGCCGCCGTTGGGGGGAAACACCGGTGGGAATGACTGAAGCTGGGAGGTGCCGAGGGAGGGGCAGCTCTCACGGGGGCGTCCCCACACTGAGTGCTCTCATTAGTCAGTGGGTGTGTTGTGAGTCATCTGCGGCTGGTGATAGCTGAGGGGCTGACAGTTCTGACTTCAGGGAGCAGTTCAGGGTCCCCCAACAGTGTCATCCACTACCTAGCTTCCATGCCCGCTCTGCTTTCCTGGGGGTGGGCTGAAGGGCCCAGGTGCCTGCAGGGATGGTAGGGACAGGTTGGTCAGGGAGGGTGTCCAGCTCTCTTGGAGCCAGGTTCCCAAGCTGCTCAGCAGTGCTGGTCAGGCAGGCCTGGTCCTCAGCTCCAGGGGGCCAGGGAGACCATGTACCACCTGGGGACTTTCTACTGCAGGAGCAGAAAGCCCAGCTTCCCGGTGAAGGCAGCACAGGGGTATACGGAGTCAGGGCCCTGAGACTGAGGGGTGGGGGATTCTAGGGTGTGGGCCCCGGTGGTGGCTGTTTCTGTGCACCCCTCTCTGCCTCTGTGGGGTCAGCAGAGCTCAGGCTAGGTGTCCTCAGGGCTAAGGGCAGGTGCAGAGCAGTTTAGGGCTCCTCAGCCCCATTCTGCAGGACTCCCTGTCCAATCACAGCCTGCACGGGACAGCGTGGCCATCTGGTCATCTGGTCCCTGGGATGGGTCTCTTTGAGAGCTGGCTGGGGTGTCTCCACACCTCCCTGGTCTCCGTGTCCTATCCAGAAAGTGAAGCATTGGCTAAAGGACCCTCTCAGCTCTGCCCTGGACAGGCCGTTGACCCATGCCCTACCCGGGCCAGGACATGCCTTCCTGTCCTTAGAACCTGACCTGTCCTTTCAGGGGCCAAACAGGACTGCACTGGGGGAATCTGGGTTGCAGATTGGGGGGCCCCCACCTCACCTCTGATTCCACTTTTGGCCTCTGTCTCCCTAGGAGCCCAAGTCCTCAGGGCAGCTCATGGCTGAGTGGGGCCTGGACGATGTGGACTACCTGTTCTCGGAGGAGGACTACCACACCCTAACCAACTACAAGGCCTTCAGCCAGTTCCTCCGGTGGGTTGGGGTCCAGGATGCTGCAGCTGGGCATCTGTGGGTCTGTCCCCTGGGGGGCAACCAAGTCAGAGGTCGGGACAGAGAGGCAGAGCCCAGGATGAGGGCTGTCAGGCCAACCACTGACCTGCAGGGCTGGCAGGGGAGGGTCCTGTCCCTCCCCTTGGTGATCAGGCCTCCCCTGGCTGGCCTGCCCTGGGTCCTCCTGTCTCTTCCTCTTGGGTGCCGCCTGCTGCAGCGCCCTCTGTCCTCTCAGATCTTGCGGGGTCTACACACTGGTTAGCCACTCACCCGCTGTGAAGGAGGGAATAAGAGTGTCTGGGGTGGACTCTTGTCTTGGCTTTGCGCTTCCTTGTCCTCCTTTCTACCTGGTTTCGCTAGCCAGGGAACATGGGGCTGCTGCTGGAGGCTACGGGGCTGGGAGAAGGGACGGCTCTGTCCTCATGTCCTGGCTGTTTCTCCCAACACAGGCCGCTCATTGCCAAGAGGAACCCGAAGATCCCCATGTCCAAAATGATGACGGTCCTAGGTGCCAAGTGGCGGGAATTCAGTGCCAATAACCCTTTTAAGGGCAGCTCTGCGGCAGCAGCTGCGGCGGCTGTGGCCGCAGCCGTAGAGACGGTTACCATCGCCCCGCCACTGGCCATCAGCCCTCAGCAGGTGCCCCAGCCAGTGCCCATCCGCAAGGCTAAGACCAAAGAGGGCAAGGGTAAGACTGCAGGTGGGGGACTCACGCCCTGCTGGGCACCTGGGCACTCCTTACCAGGGGGTTTGGGCTGACCCGCCCTTTCTCTGCGGCCATGTGGCATCGAGCTTGGTCCTGTCTACCTGTGGGGTAGGGAGGAACAGGAATGATGGGCACAGAGCTTTGGAGGTAGTGCCTGGCCATCCAGCAGGCCCTCTACCTGGGATGGTGGGAAGGAGGGAGGCCCGAGTGTCCTGGGGCTGGAGTTGGAGGTGGCCAGGTTAGCCTGTTGCCCTCTCCTCTGGGCGCCACTGTGGCACAGTCCTTCTCCAGGCCTGCGGGGTAGCTAGAGGATCATTTCCCTGCCCCCTCTGGCTTTAGGATCCAGGGAGGTGCAGGAGTTGGGAGTAAGGGGCTGGTATGGTCAGACTGGAGTTCAGGAAGGAGGTCCAGATCCAGTCTGACTCAGGGCTAGGGGTTGTGGACAGGAGAGGGCAGCAGGGCCCTGTGAGACTTGAAGTGCCCCAGGGAGGGAGCATTCTGGGTGCAGGTTTCTGGCTTCCTGGGTTTGGGGACATGGGTCTCCCAGGGTGCTCCCTGGTGCCATCTCCAGTAACTCAGCCATCCTGGATGCTGATTTGGTTTTTGATGGGGGTGGGGGTTGAGGAGATCTGGGGACCCTGGTTTTCAGCCCCAAGGAGATTGGTAGCTGGGTGAGGTGGTGTACTCCTGTAATCTCAGTGACTTGAGAGGCTGAGACAGGAGGATCACAAGTTTGAGGTCAGCCTCAGCAAGTTAACAAGGCTCCCCAGGGTCAGAGCCTAAGCCAGTGTCTCTGCCTTGCTCACTCCTGTCTCAAAATTAAATAAATAAGTAAATAAAAAGGACTGGCTCTGTGGTAAAGCACCCCTGGGTTAAATCCAAGGTATATATAAAAAAAGCAGCATTGGTTTCTGGGACAAGGCCGTGGTGCCGTGCCTGGCACCCCTTTGCCAGGTCTTGGAGGGGCCCTACTAGGGCCTGCTAGGCAAGTCTGACCCTGCACCTTATCCTGCCTGACCCTTGTCACCAGGACCTCAGGAAGGGCCTGGCCTATCCACCACCTGCCCATCCACTTACTTATTTCCTTTGGGCTCCAGCTGCCCAGCTATTGATTCCCTGAGCCGCTGCTTCACAGCTGAGCTGTTGAAGTAGATTCTTTGTAGCATCACAGAGGGAGGGAGCAGTGGGACCCCCAGTCCTGTCCCGAGTGTGGCCAGGAGAGGGCCTCGGCTAAAGCCACCTGGGTGTGAATCCCGCCGCTGGACCTCTCCTCCTCTGCTTCTCCTGGCAGTGGGTTGGGCCACTGGGGGTGGCTCACTGCCCCGTGGCTAGCTTCAACTTGCCAGCCTTTCCCTGGGGGGCAGCTGTGGGAGGGGCCTGCCCTGCCTGCTTGTAGGGAAGGGCTTTTGGCCTCAGGACGCAGCTCTGGGGGCCCAAGCATGGACCACAGGCGGGTGGGTGTGCCTTTGGTGGCTCTGCTCAGGCGGACGGGGGCTTCCTTGGCTGGGATGGGGACAGTGTAGGGGCAGGTGCCCTTGGCAGAGGGCCAGTGCCTTGGCCTGGCAGACAAACGTGGGTCAGGTCAGTCTCTGGCTTTCCCTTTCCCTGCTGTGTGACCCAAGCGGGGACTCCCTGTGTCCCCAGCCCTCATGCCTCATCTGAAAAGGGAGATGGTAAAACCTCACTGGGTCCCCGCATGAAGTGGCAGTTGGTGATCATGACCCTTGTTCTCAGGGCCTGGAGTGAGGAAGAAGATTAAAGGCTCCAAAGACGGGAAGAAGAAGGGCAAGGGGAAGAAGGTGGCTGGGCTCAAGTTCCGCTTTGGGGGGATTGGTGGCAAGCGGAAGAGGGGCTCTTCGGTGAGTGTGTATGTGGGCATGCATACTAAGTGTGTGCGTGTGTGCGTGTGCATGCAGATGTGTGAATGTGTGTATGTGCATGTGTGCTGGGGAGGGCCTGGGGGACCGAGGACAGTGGGCTTTCCTTTCA